CTTTGTAACCTCCAGTTGATGATAACTGAGGATTCGTACCCCACATTGTAAGAGATTGTGTCCTGGTACATGTGTTCCTGGGTTTCTTCACATCACGGATTCTCACGATCGCTTAACAGCATCCAAGTTGATTCTGGTTTTACAAAACTTTTGCATATATTAAAGTAGGTAACTCCAAGCTTTTGTAATTGCCTCAACAAAATGACAAAACATGATAGCCCAGCCAATCTACAACTACTCACAATTTAAAACCACACACACACAGTCAAATTCATGCAAAGTGTAATAAAAAAGGTTTAGTAAGTATCAATTAATTTGATGAACACAGATATACAATCTCAATAATTCATGACTAAAATTCAGGGATAAGAATATACCTTAAAAGACAATCTGAAGAATCAAGGTTAAAAAGCTGAAAAAAAATATACTTTTAGAATTCTCTCTTCCAAGAACGTTTATAATCGATAATGTTCCTGAATTTCTTTATGAAGCAAATTCACAAGGACATTTAAGATAAACTATTCTAAAAATAAAAGCAAAGGTACTCTTCTTAAAAGCCACTGGGAATTATTTTTGAAAGACAGCATTTTAAGTGAATTTTTGCAAAATAGATGCCATTTATATTTTTTCAATTTCTCTAAATAAACATGTTTACACTGTTTCAAAAGGTATTCATATGCGCAACAGTTTTATGAAAGAACAATATTTTCTCCAACATCTCCATCTGCTGGCTTCGAGAAAAAGTAGATTTTTATCTACTGTTCCTTTAAATTTAATATTTTTGTAAATTTATTTTTTATGCAATTAAATATAAAATTATTTCTAAAGACACTAACAGCTCTTTGTCAAGGTCATGCACAAAAAGGAACAGGAAAAATTTTGAAGAGGACATTTAATATTTAATACGTTTAATTCCCAAACCCTACGTGATCAAATACCCATGTCCATAGCCCTTTCAGACAGCTTTATTTTAAACAAGCTTTCATAATGAGCATAGCACTAAAGTTTATTAAAACTTTTTAGAATGTAAAAATGTTTAGAATTTTCCTAAAACCTGCTGTTGATTTAGTTGAACTATATATATATATATGTGTGTGTTGTACACACATAGGTCAATATCAAATTGATTAATTTCACAAACATTCTGTTACTGTCATAAACTGCTTTTGTAGAAGAACCACTGGAGTATCTTCGCATCCTCGGACTGAAGTTCTTAGACAAGACATAGTGGCCAGGGCACAGAGAAGGCCGTCAACGCAATAAGGATTTGGAAACGATGTGAAAGAGCGTGGAGGGAAAAGATCAGAAGAAAGGAATTACTATGGGAAAAGCATTCATGTATTCTGTGACAACCACACAACTGGAGGCAAACACTGAAGAGGGCTGGGGAGGAAGGGAGGAAGGAATTCGCGAGCCCATCACTGGCTTTAGCTGTTGAAGCACATCAGATGCTAGTCTTAGGTATGTATTTTTCTTGTTCTATGGATTTTGTCATATTAAAGTCAGGTCTGAACAGCCTTGTGGAAGAGGGGGAAGAGGAAGAAAGAAAGAAATGAGAAATCTGTCTACTTCCACAGGTACCCATGGAAACGGAAGGGAACAAGGAGATCCTGCCATTACCCCAGCTCCGTGCCTATAGTCATTTTACCCAGTTCAGAATATAATGGCTGCATTCCCTTTGCATAACCTTAACCCTTGCCGCTGGGTCTTTCCAGCAAGGTGTTTCCAAATAACTCCCCCATCTCAGGAATACAGTTAAATTTGAAAACTAGTATCTCTTCTAGTTTGAAATCACAGTATTAAGGTTTATAGCTCTACTTTCTTAATATCTAAATTTAACCCTATGGGATTTTTATGGTTCAACAGGGAGGAAGCGGGAGGTACTTTATGATGCCGATAGATGATACACATTTTAATACCAGAGCTAAGGGGTAGAATTCCTTAGATTTCTGGAGGCAATCAACATCACTTTGATTTCTGCTCTCAACATATTGGATGCTGCTGCTTTTACTTCATAAAGGAAAAAACCATGGATTTCCCCCACCCCCGACTGAAAACTCAAGAAAACAGGGGCTGAGCATTGCAGAAAAATCTTGAGCAGGATTGAAGTGACCAAAACTCATCGTCACAAATGTGACAGTCAAAACTGCTATTCATTTGTGACTGCTGACTTCGTGATGGTAATTTATATAAGCATCTCTCTCTCTCTCTCTCTGAAAAGAGTTAAACTAATTTTACATTTTCTATTGCTCTTGGTAGAAAAGAAAAAAGAAATGGTTTACGAATTCTCCATTTCATTTTACAAACTCTAGATTGTGAAATTCCTGAAGGAAGGAAGAAACTGAGCCCCCCCACACACACACACACGTTAAGTGATCTGTCCAGTCAATGAGTTAAAATGTCAACTCCAAAAAATTCTCTAGAATGAGTCTCAGGGCCTCGCTAGTTCCCTTCAGCGATCAGTAAGATGACTTACAACACGGGAGTTCAGAATTCCCATGTCAGAAACTTGAAAATGTATTCGGTTCCTCACCACAATTTGTTTCAGTGCCGTGTAGAATGCTCCAGGGAGGAGTAATTTGGGGATCTGGAGACATGCAATTTTTTATTTCAGCTCCATTATCTGAGAAAAATATGTGCAAAATAAAGACTTGATTTTCCCGTTTTCTCAGAATTGTGGTCAAGCAAATTAAATTGTGCGTGTGTGTGTGTTTTTTTAATGAAATCCATGCCTTGTTAGATGGGTGTATTCATTCTGTGGAAATGCATGGATTTATATGTGTTTGAAAGAGGTACATTTCTTGTCTGCACATCTTATTTCAATAAAGATTTATATTAAAAGTAAATTATTCAAAAATATTGGGACTGAGGACCTAAACTAGTCTCCTAACCTAAACTAGCCATAATCTTTAGTCTTTACAAAGCCCCAGCACAGCCATTCAGCATTTGGAGAGAAAGGATACTCATTTCGGCCAGCGGTTGTGTCTGAGCTGCTCCCTGACAGGCCCCCGTGGTACTTCACCAGTGAGGGGATTTCTCCATCACTGGCCATTCTCAAAAAATACATCTGTCAATTACTTTCACCTTGTTTTTAAAATCTACATCCTTCCAATAATCATCGTCTTAGGTTCGTTGATCCCTTTCCAAAGCATTTTCACACTAGTATCCAATTACATACAGTCAGATACTTAGCACAAATGTATGTCATGCTCATAATTCATGTGCAAAAAACAAACTGGAAGCCTGATACAGAATCAAGTGAATAATCTAAATCCAGTAGGTAAATAGGTCAAGTATAAAGGCCTTCAAAAATTAAGCTACTTGTTTCCTTACATGTATGTATATATATTAAAATTTTCCAAGACATTCTTACATTCTTTCATGGAGATTTTTTGAAAGCTGCAAATCCACTTAAGTCTGTCTGTCTCTCTCGCTCGCTCTCTCTCTCTCTCTCTCTCTCTCTCTGTCTTTCCATGCCACCGTCCCCAGTTTCTTTTCCCACTTGGTATCAACACGTGAAGAAAACATACAGCACTGAAATCTTCTTAAATAGATTCTTTTTCAACCATCGAGTTCTGAGCATCTCATATGACCATAATAACAACCTCGGTTCTACCAGGCGAAGAAAATTGTTTGATTCTTTCATTCATCCGGTTGACAGCAGTTGCAAAAGGACTGATGTCCCTGAGACCACAATCAAGCTAATCCATGGACTACATGATTAAGGGTAATATATGACCCGGGGAAGTGGGATGACAACCACCAGTATTTGTCTAACGTGGGGACACTGCGGTCGGGCTTTTTCGGTGGTAATTTTCCGCTGACTCCTTCACGTTCCAACCACAGCGGGAGGGGAGCCATCTGCAGACCGCCCCCCACCACGAAATTGCCAGCTATGAAATTAACACTGAGAACCTCAAATCAGGAAAGAGTCACCCCAACTCGGTCGGCAGGAAATGATGGCAGCTGCCGGCAAGAGGGCGGGAGGGTCCGGCGGCTCGGCCGCACTGCCCACGCCGGCGCGGGGGTGGCAGCGCCTGGACCGGGGCCCGCCAGCCTCTCCATTGAACCATTTGGAGACTTAATTGGTTGGATCCTATTACTCTGAAGCCTAGATGGAGCTTCGTGGCGTGCCCTAGGCAGTGCTAGGACTAACACGCAGAGCTGCCAAGACTAAAATGGCTGATGGGCGACTTCTCCCGATTCCAAACTCGGCGCATCCCTCTGCTTTCGGGTCCTCCTCCTCCAGCCGCCTCCGCCGGAGCCCCACGACAGGGTAACAAAGCGCCCCAGCCGGCGAGCCAGCCGCCCGCGGCGCCCAGGGCAGAATCGTCCTGCAACTTGGCCCGAAGCTCCAGAGCAGCGAGCAAGGACCGCGCTCCCTGCACCCCCGACCCCTGCCCGCCCCGGCCTGCGTGACCCCGCCGCGCCCCTCGGTGGGCCTTATGTAACGGCCGAGAGCCCAACTCCAGACCCAAGGCTACAACTTGGCGGGTCTCGGCGGAGATCCAGGGCTCGCGCAGGTCCGCAGAGTGACCCGGAGAGGGGCCTGCAGATTTAAATCCCCGGCCGCAGGCGGCTGGGATCAGCAATTCCCGGTGGGGTCTACCCAGAGCCCGACGGCGCGCCCCAGGGACCCCGTGTTCTCCGTGGGCTGGGTGCCAGCCGGCACGCAGGGGCGGGGGCTTCTCTGGAAGACTCGAGCTAATCTAGAACCCATGGAACCTAAGGAAGCGCAACCCCCCGCTCCAACATCCACCCCCCCCCGCCCCCCAGTGCGCACACTCTTCAGTGCCTTTCGCTTCCTCTCCCCACCCCCAGCCAGCGGGGGTCTCCGAGGTTGCAGCCACTTTCTCCCTCCGCCGTCACACGCACGCGCGTGTGCAGTCACTACACCCACACGCTGACACGCAGAAACACACACACACACACCGGCCCGCACTCACACTCGCCAGCTTTCCGCGGACGGCCTCGAAAGGGCATGCATATTCATTACTTACAAGCATTGGTGACTGCGAAGCTGTTTGCTACCTCCAAATTGTCGATGTGGGGTGTCAGCCTGAACTCCGAAGTGGAAAACTGAACCATCCCTACCCGAAATGCACTGTATTCCTGATCGGCGCCCCTGGGAAACAGCCCCCCTGCGAAGAACAAACACCAAGCAGAACGGTGTCAGTGCCGGGAGGGGAAGGAGGGAGCCTGCTGGAGCCCGACTGCCCGGGAGTCCCTGATTCACGCTAATAGGCCGAATAAACACATCAGCCGACCCGGGCAGCGGGGGGCGGGGGGGGCGAACATCCAAACAGTAGACCAGGGGTCAGGACACGGAGGAGTCTCAGGGCACGGTGGGTGGCCAGAAACTCTACCCTTTCCGAGAAATCACAAGCTTTGCATTGTGAATGCAAGAGAATCTGAACAAACGGGGAAAAGCCGTTAAGGCAGAATGGAAAAAATTGGGGGAGGGGGGTCAGAAATGAGAAGACCTTTTCCTCTGTTATGTCAAAGGCATAGTCTTTGCCTTGCTTCATCCTAAGAAAAACATGTATATTCTAGGCAGTTTAAATCTGGAATGCAGTCAAGGTATGACATAAGTCTACATGACATGAATTAATTTGTCCACAGTGAACAAAGATTACCACCAAATTATGCACAATTCAAAAGCAGAGCACAAAGGGTACCTACCTATCTGTATGCTGTTAGAAGAGACACCAAAAATCAGTCCCCATAAAACAGGAGAAAGGAGGACAGATATATGCATAATCTTTTGCATTTCCAAGAAAAGTAGAGCATCCACAAAATACCCTTTTTTTCTTTTTCCTTTTCCTCCTCTTCCTTCTTTGGCCGTTTTCCTCGGCAAATTAGATCCTCTGCATTTTGAGGCAGCAATTGAGCACCAAACTGCTAAAACCCTGAAGTGGAGGCAGAAGAATGCCTATCTCCCAGGTCCTGCGGGTGGGTGCCGCTGCCCTACGCCGGGTCCCTGCTCCGAAGTCCGGAGGACTGGCTGGACGCAGTTTTCAGCAGGGCTGCCGCTGTGGTCCCCGCGCCTCGGATGTTCAGCTCCCTTCCCATGCGCTCACACACTCACCCTCGCGCGCGCTCTTCCCTCTCCCCTCTCCACACGCGCGCGCGCGCACACACACACGCGCACACATACACACACACACACACAGCCCCGAG